GGCGCGTCGCGGCCGAAGGTCGAGTTCCAAGTCCACTGGGAGGCTGTCAGATTCGGAGCAAGGAGTCCTCGCCCCGGCACGACCTTACATCTCCTGCCTTCTTCAATTCCAGAACGTCCTTCTCAACGGGGCTCGTGGCCTCACAAATGTGTTTTTCGGTTCATTTTTAGCCAACTGCACATCTTATTAAGGGCAAGGGCCACCTGTTCGCGCAAGGAATTATTAATCCTTCGTTAATGAAGTGGTAGGATGATGAAGGGACGATTCACAAATATATTCATGCCCGGGGTGGGATTCGAACCCGCGATTTTTCGATTCCAGATCGCCACGGTCCTACTGCCTTAGCGATCTCGGCCATCCGGATAGACCAGAAATGTGCTTACCACTTAAAAAGATTACTTTTATAAGGCAGGAGGTGTAACAATGACCTAATTTATCGACCACTATAGAAAAATCGAAGTATCGAATCGATATCGGTTCGATACTGTAGATGTACAAAATTAAGACAATGTTCTTAAATTCATCGACCACAACCATCGATGTTTCGAGCTCGTTTGCTAAACTCTAACAATATATTCGGGAGCAACAAAATTTAATTTGACAATGGGTATGTTTATTAATTTGCAATTAAAATGTAATTCGAAAGCAAAGATGAAAAATAACCAGAACAATGGACAAAACTAACCCTGATCCCGCAGGGTCTTCGCAAAAGGCATTAGGAAATTCAGTTCGCCGAAGAAGTTCCTACGCCCGCGGCATCATCCGATGGCACTGCAGTGCTCACCCGGAGGTCCTAGGTCCGAGTCCCGACACTAGCTGCTCAGCTAGGTCGAATTCAGTCGCTGCCTGGAGAATTCTAGCGGCCGGCTGCTCTTATAGATAGTTTTCCGTGGTTTCTGCGATCAACACCAGGCGAAGGCCGCAGCAGTACCCGTTAGGGCCACGGACCGCGCGCGATCTTTCCTTCCTCGTCCTTGTGTCCTCAACTCCTACATACACATGCCCTACACTACCACACATGCTGGGAAACGGGCTTAGAGCTTGGCCCGGCTGGACCTGTGTCCCGCTGGAGGGAGATACCTCGTTGTGGGAAACCTCGCTATCCAACTATACGCCAGCGCCGTTCCATCCAATGGGGGAAGATCGCAGCCACATCCCGAGGAAACGTGCACTACACTTGCAGGACTAATTATCTCAGAAGCTGATACGCCCGAAATTACTAACAACCCACGAACCAACCAATCCAAGCGCGAAATATACGAAACGAGTGGAAATACTAAGAGGGCATCCAGGGCCGCCTCAAGCGAGAGACAAGCCGCTCGATCAAGGCACTGCAAGAAGCAACACACACACACACACACACACACACACACACACACACACACACACACACACACAGGTACTACCAATGATTAGTTCATAATGTAACTTTTGCAAACATAGGAAACAAAAACATCGATGTTTTGAAAACTTCGTCATCGCTGTCGTATACCCAGTTAGAAGAGAATCTTAATATCTGGGGTCACTCATTTTTCTCTTTTAAAGTCGGGAATATTTTTATAGACGGCAAATAAACGACCAAGATTTTTTTCTAACAACCGCAGGTTTCCCTCAACCAACAAACGGAATTTCGATAGAAAGAAACAAGCGCGAGACAGTCATGAAGCCATCGTGCATAAACGCGCGTGAATGGGGCGGGCAGAGCGTAAACAAAGCTCCTGTCTAAACAATCAAAGGTCCTTGGCTTGCGTGCGGAACGCAATGACGGAATATTGCCACTGTGGAGAACTCTGTACGAGAAAAAAAGATACTCTGTAAGAGAAAAAAAATACGTATTCTTTTTCTGGGCGAGATATTTGTGCTGACGCGGGAGCGATCTATGAATAAGCGAATACGAAAGACAACCCTGTATATCGGGATTGTGTTAAGTCACACTGCACATAATGCACATTATATTATAATGGTGAAAAAATTACTATATAGCATTTCGAATCCGCTACCAAGAATTTATACACTACAGTCAGAAAAGTGTACTACTTTTCCTGCCAGTTGTGGAGTTCTTAGTAAATGAACATTGATATTAATGACTCAACGCTTTGAAAAGGAACTCTGAAATAACCCTACAAAGACGCCTGAAATCGCAGAAGTTAATTACTCCATCTAATGCGCTGTGATCGGAATCTACGTTTTGTGGGTCTTTGATACCGCAAAAGCGAATGAAACGTCACTCCCTCTGCGGCCAACGCTAGTGCCTAGCAAACGGACGCACGAGCTATTGCAATTGAGTTACTCTCCAAATTTTCGAAAACAGCAAATGTTAGAAATGAGAGAAAGCGTGTGCGGTTGTAGAAATAAAAGTTTAAAATTGTAGTGTCTATACTAAAATTAATGATTTTCAGCAGATATTTGAAAGGATTTCGAAGAGCTTTTGAAGAAAAAATAATCGGTTATTGAAAATAATAAAACAAAGAAAGTAGCACTCAAGTTCATAAAATAAACT